GTGGCACAGGTGGCCTGGACGTGCCACTGAAACACAAACGGAAACAAAACAGGATCAGAGCAAAAACTGAATCTGGTTTCAATATTGGGAAACTGTTGAGACTTTGTGTTACTTTTGAAGTTTTCAAAAACTGAGCAATGGTCATAAAAATGACCAACAGGATAAAGGAGGCCAGTAAATGCAAATAAAGTCGTCTCTGTCTTGCAAAAATCTTAAACGCAAGTGTTTGACGTAATCCATCTGGTTAAAGGAAGTTTTCAAATCCAGCTCAGTTCTGACCCAATAGGAAGGAAAGGGTTTGAAATCTTAGTTGCATCAATGCTGCAAAGGAGGGGGGGGAGGTAGTTGCCCTTGTTTTGTTATTTTTGCACAACCATTATCTGACTCTGCTGTAGAGAATATCACCAACTGCTACATTTTAACGTCTTTAACACCTGAGAAATCCACTGATTTAACAGCTCATTTAATCCTTGATGGGTTTTTAAAACCACCAGGACTGTAATGCAGAATGCAACCACAAGGAGGCAGCAACTGCCAGGCAGCAGCAAAAAAAGGCAGGGATAGTAAAAAAAAAAAAAAAACTAAATCCAACATTAGATACATTAAAGTTGAGCTGAACGCCTTCTTCAGAAATAATTAGTTTTGAATCATATATTAGAAATGATGAGGACTTCTATTTAGTCCAAGTTAGAGTAGAACGCTGTGGGATCTATCACACCCCCCCCCACCTTAAAAACAGCGTATCAGAGCTCAGCTCGTCTAAATCCCCCAAAGTTCTGCTAAACATGCGTGATCTTTAAATGGATCCTTACGGTTCTGCTGCGCAGGCTGTGCAGGCCCAGTTTGTCGGTGAGTTCGCTGACCCCCATGGCGTTGGGAAGATCCTGTTTGTTTGCAAACACCAGAAGGACGGCGTCCTTCAGCTCGTCTTCCTGGATCTGAGGGGATACAAGAGTCAGGTTGACGTCACCATCGACCCACCGAGGCCACGGCAGAATCCTTGATCGCTCACCATCTTGGAGAGCTCCTCGGCCGACTCTGCCACTCTCTCTCTGTCGTTGCTGTCCACCACGAAGATCAGACCCTGCAGAAGAAACGGTCACTGATCAAAGCAGTCTGCTGTCTGAGACGCTAATAAACAACATCAGCGAATATCATTGGTTGATGAGACACAAACCAAATCAAACCATCCGTGATTCTAACTTATAAAAAGTACATTTCTCCACTGTGAGATCAGCAAAGTCAATCAATCAATAAAACTACCTGTGTGTTCTGGAAGTAGTGTCTCCACAGAGGTCGGATCTTGTCCTGACCGCCGACGTCCCAAACTGTGAAGCAGATGTTCTTGTACTCCACCGTCTCCACGTTAAAGCCTAAAACATGCAGACGCAGCAGAGGATGTTAGAGCCGAGGCGGCTACTTACTGAGCGCGTGCAGTAAGATACTTTCTGTCTGAAGAATTAGTAAAATACTGAGGAAAGAACAAACTTTCCATTTACGCAGATAACATTCGTTTTATACGTTCAGATAAGGCCTCAGCTCTTCTTCTGGATATTGAATCTTTAAATGGAGCAAATGCTCCTGATTTTTCACAACAGTAAGTTTGAAAGTTGTTTGGTCCTAATAAAAAATAATAATTTACTGCAGCTAGCTCTAGTTACTCTGTTAGTTACTCTGTAAATTCAGCAGTCGGGCTTCTGCTTTCCTGATAAATGGGCAAAAGATTCACAGTATCTTGTTAGGTTGGTAGTGCAACAAGATAAATTCATTATAAATTAAATCTGCTCTGATGGGATTAAAAACAAAACCTTAAACTACAAAAACAAACCAAAAAAGCCTCCCAATAATTTAATCTCATCAACCATTTCTTAGCTTCCTGAACCACAATCCGTGTGTGATAAGATGATTTTTACTGCTTTGATTCGGCTCCTGCTAGGAAACATTTCCACCCAGGTATGATTGATTACTTACCGATAGTTGGGATGGTGGTGACGATCTCTCCGAGTTTAAGTTTGTACAGGATTGTTGTTTTTCCAGCTGCATCTAAACCCACTGAAACAACAGATAAAATAGTCAAATTAAAATGTAAATTAATCAAATTTAATAAAATATGTTTTTATTTTGATATTTCTTTTAAACTTTATTAGATCGTTTTTCTGTAACACAATTTTGGACCAAATACTGGCCCCTAGAGGACGCTGAAAATAATGCAGTTTTCTTTTTTTAATCAGCTTCGCTGCATCTTATGTAACATTTCTCTTCTGAAACGTTGAAGATTTTAAAGCCGTTTGCATATTTGAACAAATTATTCACTCTTATTTTCTATAAATCCAGTTTTAGGAACAACAAAGTTTGGATTTTGACAGACTCACTGCTTTTTATCAACAGATTCTGAGATAAGCCGTTTGAGAAAACATGGAACTAAGAAGGTCAGTAAGTTTTCAGTTTATCTAGAAAGTTCTTTCAACTCTTTCCAGAAATTAAGGTTTTCATTCTAAAAATAAAAAAAAAATATCCAGAATTAGATCCATATAAATGGAACTTGACCCAGACAACAGATCCAGACTAAGAGAAAATGATTCAGAGTCACGCCTCTGGATCCAAAAATATTTCCAAACAGACGAAACATTCAGAAAACTACAACAAATCATCTGGATTCAAAACAAAAAGAATTTAAAAGAGACTGAAATCCATCCATCTTTAAAAACGGTTTATCCTGGTTGGTTGAGGAAGATGCAAACCTAATGCAATAAAAGCCCAGACCTGGATTCAGACCCAGGACCTCCTCACTGCAGAAGTTTAATTAAAAAAAGGAAAAAAATATGTCAGAAAAAATAAATAGAATAGAAATAAATAGAAGTGTACAGAGACACAAAGCATAGATTCTGAATACCAAACAGAAATCCGTAAAAATACCTACTCCTGTAAATGGATTACAAAGTAGACTTGGATACGAAACAAAAACTAAAATAAACCTAAACATAGAATCAATTCAGTTCGGTTTTTTTTTTATAAATAGCGCCAATTCTCAACTTATGTAATCTCAAGGCACTTTATAGAGACAATTCAACCAGATCATACTTACAAATTGATTCAGAAAGTTTTCTATCTAAGGAAAACCAGCTAATTGCATCGACTCAATTAAGGCTACTTGTTTTTAATATTCACAATGATGCCCACTCTGCTTAAATCTGGGAATCTTGGTCAACAAGAACAACATGGCTGTGGGTATAAAAGACCATGACAGTCAATTTAAATATATAAAATTGACCAGTAGCATTTAAATAAATGGCACCTGGTATATACTGCATGAATTATATCTTTGCTATTATAAATTACACGAACAACTCTAAAATAATCCAGATCAGATTAACTAGACGCAAACCTGATCTAGAACAGAAGAGGTTCACTGATAAAATATGAAACTCAGATCCAGATAGAAAAAAATAACACCAAATCGAGACAAGGCAGATCTAGAAGTGCTTAGTGACTCTAAAAAAGCTCCAGAAACACAAAAAAACAAAAATGTACACAGACCTTTATCTAGATTAAAGTGCTAAATAATATTTATTCAATTGGTTCCTGGTTGACTAAAAAACATCTAGAAAAACAAACAAAAAGAAAAACAATAGTGATCTTTATAACAATGATTAACAACTGGATACACAAAGACTGGATCATTAAAATATGCAAAATGGAAAAGAACCAGACCTACAATCAAAGAGTAACCTCCACAGGTGTGACTCCAGGTTGCATAATTGGATAAAAGGAACATTAACAAAGATCTTGACTAAGTATCAACAAATTGCTTTTAAAGAAATCAGAGGATCTAAGGAAACAGAACAGAAATCAGAATTGGTACCAGTAAAAACAAGTGGATCCAGATTGACCCAACTGGCTCATTAAAACACTCAAACTGGATCCGAATAAAAGAGGATTGGATCCAAGCGGAACCGGATCCAGAGAATAAATAGATTTAATAAAACTAATCTGGACTCATAATGACGAAAAAGGAGAATCAGAGAGCAGGAAAAAGCTATTACAAAATTAATAATAATAATAATAAAAAATCGATGGTGGTAGATAAGCATCTATAAAAACAGAAAATATTAAAAAATGAAAAAACTTTCTGCATCAGTGAAAGCTGGTTGACTCTGATTCATTCAACAGGATTGGGCATTGAATTAAAAAGAAAAGAGAACAATCAGATTATGTCCATTTTAATACATCTAACAGTCCTTCCGTTTAGCCCTGGCTGTTAGCATCTGCTAACTCCGTTAGCTGGATTTTTCAGTAAGGCTCACAGTAATGATGTAACCAGACTAAAACTTTAACCGAATAACAATATAAAGCCCCCCTGGTCTAAAGCAGCAGCCCTGCCGCAGAACACGCTTTGAGTCAGCCCCCGGTACCGGCCCGGTCAACTCGGAGCTAGTTAGCCTAGCCACAACGCTCACCCATCAGTATCCTCATCTGCTTCTTGCCGAACAGCCTGGAGAACAGCGACGAGATGGTCAGACCCATTTTTTAATAAACAAAGTGTCCAAGAGAGGCAGCCGGTAGAGGTGACAAGACGAGGACGGGAGCTGGAAGGCGGTAAGCCCGCTGAGGCTGCTGTCAGAACCGAATAACAGGCACAGAACAACCGGATCCGAGAGAACTGTGGGCGCTGCTCCTCCTTGGTGCCACGTCCAGGCCAACGCGGAATAAATGACGTCATGACTTTGAAAAAACTTTATTAGCAGCCCCAGAGGAGAGGCGCGTTTAGGTTCACAGGAAAATGAAAATCAATTGAAATCCTCTGCTTGAGAAAATGAATTGTTTGAGTACAGATACATCATTCCGTGGAATACACGAATCTAGTAGGTTTATTTCTAACAACTTTAATATAAACTGACAGCGACGATAAAAACGGTGGCTAAAGCGAAATAGTTTTTTAGCGTTTTCTGTTTAACCTGAACGCATCCTTAAATTCCCGCCTCCTTCTCTGCTGTCAGTTCCGCCATGGCAGAACATGGCGGCTGTTGACAGCTGGAGCGAAGATTTAGGGAAAAACTTGAATTATTTGTTGTTTGTTTTGTTTTATTTTGACATAAAATTATAATTTGTTTAATTTTCTTTTTATTCCAACGCGTTAAATTATCTCTTTTGTATTGGAGAGCTTATTATCAGGTAAGAACCGGATTTAACCGGCAGGTTTGTGGACGTTAAAGTTTCGCGTTTTTTTGACGCCATAAACTCGGACAATTACGCTGAAGATATCCTCAGTTAAACACATAGGATAGGCAAACAGAGCAAGATAACGCAACAAAACAAATATTAATGTCAAACAGTCAGCACATTTTTTTCGTTTTTGCAACATTTTCTTTCTTTAATGTGGAATATTCTGGGTCTTAGAGTTCTAAACTTACAGTTTTATTAATTTAATCAAGAATTGAAACCAACATACTTTACCATTGCACTGAATTAGAGATTATAAACGAACTGTCCCTTTAACCCTGTAAAGATCTGTATCTACATGTCTGCCTTGCTGCATCAGGAAGTTCAGATCCAGGCTAAAAAATAATCTAGATTGAGACTAACAGAAAGAGATCCAGAGTAACTGTATTGAATCCAGCTAAACAGAAGTGGGTTTTCGAAAAACTATCCAGAATTTGATACAGAATAACATTTAATCCATGTTTATCGAACAAAAGACTCTAAATCCACAGCTAGATTAGTGCTGAACTCCTTCTTTTCTATAGAACTGGAGCTACATTGGGAATAAAATCTGGAATTGGATCAGACTATCTTAACCTAATCTAGAATTGGAATAATCCCAGACAAACTTACCTTGATTTTTAGAAAACTCCAGATTAACAGAACAATGCAACACTGGATTAAAATCTATGAAGATAATTCTAGATCTAAATACTGGAAACAGTTTGATCCTGATGGTTGATCTGAACAGTCAAACTGCTTTTTAATCTATTTATTTATTGACTCAGTAGAAAGGTGTAAGCAGATGTTTGATGAAGTATTTCTTCCTTTTAGTTTTCCGATGAGTTTTGGATGAATTCTGTCTGATCATGGGACCAGTCTGACCTGGACTGAGTTGGACAGGAAGGACATGGAGAAGTTTGGGATGAGCTTTGGTGGCGGTCCCAGCAGGAAGGAGCTGCTGGATACCGTCGAGTCTCAGAAGAAGCAGCTGGTCCAGTACCAGACCCGCTTTAAGGATGTGGTCCGGGCCTACAAGAGTCTCCTGAAGGAGAAGGAGGCTCTGGAAGCCAGTCTGAAGGTTCTGAGCGTGACTCAGGACCTGGACCTCAAGCAGCAGGAGCAGGATACCGCCAGGCGCCTGGACCTGCTGGATGATGGCTGCTCTCTGCACAGCGAGGACAGCGTGGACACAGCAGCATCGGTGGACGCAGCCAGTGAAACCGCAAGGGGAGAACAAAGCGAGGAGGACCAAGGTGAACCGAGCCAGAGGCCCTGCTCTACGGTATGTGGACAACATGTGTTAGAGTCGCTGCATCACTGCTTAGTCTAACATGGTTTTTGCTTCTACAGGCTGATGCTGACAGCAGCAGCATGGAGGCGGAACAACAGCAAACACCCACCGCCCCCAATGTGGAGACGGACCGCCGCATTGCCCAGCTGAAGAGCCAACTGAGCACGCTCACTGCATCGCTGGCCACTGTGACGCAGGAGAAATCTCGGATGGAGGCAAGCTTCCAGGCTGACAAGCGTCAGCTGAAACAGGAAGTTCAGGAGCTGCAGGGGCGTCTGGCTGCCACAACGGCGGAGCAGGAGGCAGAGCTGCAAGCTCTACAGCAACAGGTCACGGAGACCCGTGCTCGCATCATCACACAGCAGCACGAAAGGGAGCAGGAGCAGGGAGACCACGCCCAGCAGCTGAGGGAGCTGCAGAGACTCCTGCAGCAGGAGCGAGACCTGCGGCAGGACGCCGAGCTGCGTCTGCACGACGCCAACGCCGCCCTCCTCTCTACCTCACAGGCGGTGGACCGAGGGATGGAGTCAGAGGCCCACCTGAACCAGGTGAGGGAGGAGAGAGACGAGCTGCGCAGGAGGCTGCAGGCTGCAGAGGAGGAGCAGAAGAAACCAGATCCCAGAGTGGAGGAGCTGCAGAAGGAACTGCAAGAGCTGAAGAACTCCTTCCATCAGCAGATCCACAATGAGACAAAGAAGGTGAGATTAGGTTCGGTTTACAGAAAGCCAGCAGACACACCTGACTTAGAAAAAAAAGGGGATTCAAAGGCCTTGTATGCTGAGGAGGGAGTGCAGTCATTGGATTCAGATGTGATTGAGAACAGACCAGTCCTCCACGGGTCTGATTTTTGTCAAAACAGTATCCACCCGCAGGCGTAGAGACCCGACCCGTTACCCGCAATTATCCCCATTTAAAACCCAAGACAGCACAGGCTGGGAAATAATAAAGTGCAACCCAATCTGTGATCACCAAGTGTACAGACAGCCATTTATAATAATAAAAGCAGTAGGGGTGTGCAAAATAATCATCATGACGATGCATCGCGATTCTAATTTTTGTGATCTACTGCATCGATTCTTGACGCCAAGTATCGATTCTTAATTTAAAAAAATGAACAAATAAAATCCATGAATGGTTGGCGCACATCAGCCAAACCAAGTGGAATACAACTTCCAGTCCACCAGATGTCGCTGCAGATGTGTTGACGCCCGCTGCCTTGTGTCACAAGCGTGTCCGGCTGCGGGATACTGTGATTAGTCATTCGTAAAGAAAACATGGACACTGAGAAAATTCGCCCCCCGGTTCCGTCATATTTCAAGTCAGATGCTTGGATGCATTTTGGCTTTAAAAACAAAGAAGGTAAAAAAGAAATTGATGTAAAGCACGCCATTTCCAAAAGGGGAAATATACATTTGAATGTTTTCATTTCATTGGTTTAAAGGACCACTGAGGCCATGTAAACGGCACTGATTATCCTTATTTTGTTATTTTCAGTTTGATGAATCCTGAGATCTTTTTGTCAGTGTGTCCACGCCAGTAATAGTAATATTTCTGTCCAGTATTTGTTTCCATGGCAACACCTCCAAAAGAATAAATACAGCTATGTATGAATTCAGTTTCTTTCAGTTATGTATCAATTGAAGACACGATCCAGATCACACCCAGCCAGTCAGCCACTGGTAAGGGCTGGATCCTTTTCTTACAGTGTTCAGTGAAAATATCGCGATGCATCGCGATATTTCAAGTATCGTGATGCATCGTGATAGAATCAAATCATGACTTCTTTGCTAGTACCCACCCCTAAAAGGCAGTAAAGAATATCGCCTCACGCTCACATCCAGCGCTCTGTGCTCACAGATTAACTGCTGTAAATTAGCAGAACTTAGTTG